TTTTTTTTTTTAAGTGTATTATGTTTTTATGATTTATCTATGTTTTTTTCTTTCAGAACGTACAGAATATAGTGATACCTTTATTGTATAAATTCTACTTGAGCCATTCTGCAAAAAGTTTTTATAAGGATCACAATAAATGCCGCTTGGAATTATTCAAAACGTTAAGGGCTTTACAAATGAATCCACATACTACATTGATATCTCCTATAGAGTACTATTTGGAAATATCACATAAAGCAGCTTATGATGTTGATTTAAATATTGTGCAAGAAGCAAGACTCGCATTAGCCGAATTGGAAAAAATTATACATCCTATTGCCCCCACATTACAATTACCGCTACAAAGGTAAATAATGTCAACTATATTCGTATTTTGTACTTTGTACATGTTGTTTATTCACAAATGTATTATTTTTTTCATTCAGATTGCTCGCTTAGTTCTTCAATCTAACACATTGTCGTTTTCAGGATTTAATTATTGACATTAAGTAAGAGAAGGCTATTAGATCTTTATTTTAGAAATTTGTAAATATTTTCTATTTGCAGGGATAGTGATAGTGAGTTTCTTCTTGAAGATCAAGTAGAAGAAATTACTATTGCTGGTACTGCAACTAATTCACTTAAGAGAAACGGAAGTGAACAAGAACTTTTTGAGGAAACAGATGCAATGTCATCTACATGTAAAAGATCAAAAATAATCGTGCCAAAACATACAGGAACTAGACAGGATAGAAACAATACAGAACCAGTCGAAATAGCCGATAACGAGAAGAATTTTAATGAACATCAAGCAGATCAGAATTCACATGAAAATACAAGAAATTTATTACAAAAAAGAGATCAAGTAGACAATGAACTTACAAATGTTAATACCGAAACCGGAATGGAATGTGAATCAGTTGCATGTGTTACTATAGATGATACGGAACAATGCGAGTTACTTGAAGATTCGCCACTTGCAGACGAAACAGATAAAATATTAGGAAGTTCTCCAATTGCTGAAAAAATGCAAAAAAAGATAGCAGAAGAGGCAATTCAGCAAGAAGAAGAAGAATCAGATGATAACCTAGAGACACTTAAACTATTCAGTGATATTTCATAGACTGTCCTGTTCTTAAAAATTGTTATTAGATAAATTTATATATATATATATTTATATATTTATTTATTTATTTTTGCAATAATAGTATATTATTAAAAAATAAAAAGTGGATGCGAAGTTGTTTAGCCCATGAATGGTATTGACGGTACAGGCACCTTTGAAAGTAGCCCGTTCTGTGTTTTTTTTTGCACCGTATCCTTGTTCGATCCGTCGTTATTTCGATTTGTCGATTTTCCCGTGTTGTTAACGTCAGATTTGGGATTGACAACAAATCCGCCGAATGTGTTGAGCGGCTGCTGAATTACTGATATTGTTCCCTTAGTACCTTGTTCTATTAATTGCAGAGGCACTTTGTATAGACTACACGCAGGCGATTGTAGTCGGTTAGGCACAACGGTCCATAAGCCCATTTCGCAGTACCTGTCGTTAATATAACGAGTAATTTAACAATATAATTTGCGTTGGTTATTGACTGATATGTAAGATTTCCATTACGTTACCGAAAATTGCTCATGCTTTTCGGAGTTGTTGTAATACTGACGAAAGAATTAGTTTTGTTCGAGTATGACGGAATTATGTCTGGCGACAAAATACTTTTACTTGACATAGTAGGTATATTAAGCGTGCCGCTTCTCGCAAAGTTTGCTATCATATCTGTAAAAATCTCAGTTACATGTTCATCTGCTTCATCTGATTCATCATCCTCGTCCATTTTCTCGCCAGTTATAGTATTTTGGCCGAAGACGAATCCTAAGTCGTCTCCATGATTCAAGTTACCTATGAGAAAATGAATCGCCTTATTGCTACATGTAGAAAATAAAACCATATACTTTTTTAATTAATTATTCCAATTTATACCATCCGATGATTGCTTAGCGTCGACAATCGGTAACCCAGCGAGAAAGTTTTTCCCGTAACTTCTCTTTCCCTTATGATCAAAAGTGTACAAAAAGGCGTTTGCCTTTTTCGACCAGTGATCGACGGTCAAGAATGCCGGGACGTTATAAAGCGAGTCGCCAAGAGCCTCTGCGACTTTTCCAATCGTATTTTGAGAGCCGTCACCTAAGATATTAAAATAGCCACTGAAAGCCTGCGGAACTAATCGTGATCCTTGTTGTATGTTTGGGATAGTGTCTTGCAAGCGCGGCACGAAATCTTTAGTCAAATAATTTGGAATCGTGTTCAATTTGTTTAGCACTTCGTCCTTGTATCCACCGGAAATAGCACCTCCGGTCTCATCTTTCATAACTCCCGTCAGCAGAGGTATAGTTGGAAAATTGTTGAGTCTCAAAGTATCTTCCGGCGATTCAATCATGAAGTTAGGAAGCGATCTTGAAATGATAATAACGGTAAATTTAACCGAGTCAAGGAATGATTGCAGTGCTTTATAGGATTAACATTACCTCTCGTCGTCTGCACCTTCTAAAACAGGACCGGCTCCAAGCAGATTGGACAATCCGGAGATAAAA